ATGTATAATGAATGAAAAATCAATACATCCCCCCACCCAAACCCACTATACACTATTCAAAAAAGCTTAACTGATCTTTTGGGGAAAATATTTTGATGATTAATATCTTACAGGAATATTCATATTTCCTACTTTTAGTGAATTGCTGTTTTATCTTATGTATTTTTAAAAGGAACTTTCAAAATATTCTCTATGTTTAATATACAAATAAACATAATAGTTTTTCTAACTTGTTTATGAATTAATTACAGCAATTGAAATGCGTAGTCCAATGGCTTCTAATCATTTGTTTGCCGTATCTGTTAACAGCTTGTGTTAGAGTGATTATCAGGTGGTAATTAGTGCCCTAAGGGCAGAGAAATTTAATAGATATGTATTTTACACACTTTGTGTTTGCATTTATGATATTGTATTTCAATATTCTGAGATAGCTTATGTTTAAAAGGAAACATTAAGACAAAAATACATCATTGTTTTGTATAAATATATACCGGTAGCAGAAAGCATAAAAATGACATCAAATTTTCTAACACATTTGAATTAAGGTAAAAAAAAAAAACATGGGTAACACGGTCTTCTAATTGCTAGTCAGTTTCTATCTATTCCTGTCACATATGCCCCAGTGGAAGTGTCTTCACTTTGAAGGAAAAACCTTTCAAATTTAACTGGAGACACTTTATTAGCTCACCTGAGCCGAAGACTCAGGTGAGCTTTTCTGATCGAAATTTGTCCGTTGTCTGTCGTTGTCATAGTTGTCGTTGTAAACTTTTCAAAATTTCATCTTCTTCTCCAGAACCACTGGGCCAATTTCAACCAAACTTGCCACAAAGCATCTATGGGTGAAGGGGATTCAAGTTTGTTCAAATGAAGGGCCACGCCCTCTTTCAAGGGGAGATAATAGAGAATTGAAAAATTAATAGCATCTTTTAAAAATCTTCTTCTCAAGAACCACAGGGCCAGGAAAGATGAAACTCATGTGGAAACATCCTCAGGTAGTGTATATTCAAGTTTGTTCAAATCATGACCCCCAGGGGTAGGGCAGGGCCACAATGGAGGATCTAAGTTTACATAGAAATATATAGGAAAAAACCTTTAAAAATCTTCTTCTCAAGAACAGCAAAGCCATGATGAGTTATATCCTCAGGTAGTGTAGATTCAAGTTTGTTCAAATCATGACCCCCGGGGGCAGGGCGGGGCCACTATGGAGGATTAAAGTTTTATATAGCAATATATAGGAAAACCTTTAAAAATTCTTACAAAGAAGACATGTTTTTTCCTTGATTTTAGGATAATGGACATAATAGTTCTACGTAAAAAAAAAAACTCAAACCGGGGGCGCACTAGCCCTGGATCCACCTTTGCGGGGTTAGGGTTGGGTCCAATGGGGGATTGAAAGTTTTAAGAAGAACATATAGAAAAAATATTTCTTCTCAAGAACAGAAAAACTATGTTTAGTCATATTGATATGGAAGCATCCTCAGATTGTGTAGATTCAAGTTTGTTCAAATGATGACCCCTGGGATAGGGAGGAGCCACAATGGGGGATCAAATTTTTACAAAGGAATATATGGAAAAAAAATTTTTAAAATCATTTCAAGTACAACAAAATCATTTGTTAAATTGACATGGAAGGTAGTTTAAAATTCAAGTCCCCCCCCCCCTCCCCAGTAATCTTTTCAATAATGAACTGATTTGTGCTTTTGCCTAGCCAATGTGCTCAGGTGAGCGATGTGGCCCATGGGCCTCTTGTTTGAGAAGTTAGCTGGAGACACTTTATTTGAGAAAATTTAATGAACTCCTAAAGAATGTACATGTAAGAAAAAAAATGTTGTAACTAAATCTGACATGACTATAAAAGAACGTTCACGACTATTTATTTATTGTAAGTTCATAAAATGTAATTTGTGATTTAATTAATTACATTTGCAAAGTAATTGTAATTTAATTAATTACATTTCAAAATCCTTGTGATGGTAATTTAAATGAAGGTTTTTGGCAAGTTATTGTAATTCAATGTAATTTCTTTCCAATGTAATTGACCCCATCCCTGGTTGGAATATTACAATTAACTTACAGTCAAAAGATTTTCAACATACACTCAAACCTCCTTTTGTAGAACCCAGTGGAACCAAAAAAAAAAAGTTTGAGATATCCGAGGATTCAAGATATCCAGGGTAAAATACTTGATTAAAGAATAAGGGGTACGTCCAAATCATTTTGACATATCCATGGTATTCGAGATAACAGTGTTCAAGATACTGAAGTTCAACTGTATTTGATATCTATGTTTTAGAAGATGCAACTAATTTTTTATGTTTTAATATTGTATATATCTACAAATGACTTTCTTTTCTCTATGTCAGCATCAACAGGGCTTTGGCATCAAATCATGCATCATCGATTGAGAAATTTAACAATCAGTAGAGCCTATAGGGTAGTTTTGCAAGGGACATCTCAAAATTTTGTTAAAAAGAAAAATTGAGATAAGCAGAATATCTACAATTGTGTGATTTTATATCTGTTTTATCCAACTCATTGAAATGGTAAATATTTACATTGCAAGCCTTGTTAACTCATTGGATAAAGCAATTATAAAATTACACAATATGGATATCCTCTATGTACTATATAGTGTTTATCATGCACATGAAATGTTTCGTAATTTAAAACTTTATCATTGACCCATTTTACCAGATTTTTTTAATTTAAACATTAAAAGAGATGTTATTGAAGTTTGGATAGTGCATCCCTGCCCATGAAAAAAGGTGTTTTTGTTTTGTTTTGTTTTGATTTTTGGTTTTTAAGATCTACTGGGACTTATTAATCATATTAACAATCATTTTTTTCAAATCATGGCCACCAGGGGGTGAAGTGAGGTCATTTTTTTAAGAACAAGGGGGAGCAACTAAGGTCAGACATTACCTGATCTGAAACAAAAATGGCTGCCAGTTGGTTACTTGAATTCAGATCACATGACTTACCTGTGTTATCTACCTGTTAGGTTTTTATGCTTCCAGGTCTGTAGTGGAAATTTAGATTTTATATCTGTGAATTATGGCTCACTGCATACCTTTTGATGTTTTATTATAATTGAGTCATAAAATGTGTGCCAAAATTTGTATAGATTTATTCAGAAGATGGCACCAAGCTGCATATTTATAATCAAAGAAATCCAACTCCAATTTCTTCATATATTTCTACTTTAGAAATTAATATTAATTTCATTTTAATTAAAATCAGTTAAAACATATCAATCAATGCATCATTTTGTTGGTTTGTGTTATGAATCGTTAAGTCACTAAGGTAATTTATAGCTTATCAGAGCTTATCTAAGCTGAAAGCTCAAGTGAGCTTTCTAGATCATATTTTGCCCGGAGTCTATCTTTACGTCTGTTACTTGGTAAACTTTTAACATTATTGACTTTTTCTCTAGATGTATTAGGTTAGTTTTACCAAACTTGTCACAAATTATCGTAGTGCTCTTGAGCTCTTGCTCATCTTTCAATTGTTAGTCTTGTTAGTTACAGGAATGGACAAGCTCAATTCATGGTTGGTCATTCAGGAAAACCGTTTTGTAAATCATCTGAGATCACATATTATTTCAATTTGTGTTCCTATATATATATATATATATATATATATATATATATATATATATATATATATATATATATATATATATATATATATAAGAAACTTAGACCCTATAATGTCCTGCCTTATAATCTCAGAAATCAGTTATTTTCTAAAACTGATGATATAAAATCCTAGCTTTCCCTTACTACAAGATTGTGGAATATTCTGGAATATTTTAATGTAGGTACTTCCACTGATTTCCTTAAAAAATGGTGTTTTTTATTTCAACATTGTAATAATTTATTGTAATTAATGAAGCAACGCTTGAAGCACATGTCAAATTATATATTGATTAAACAGACATACATGTCGATCATTGCCCATGTGAAGCACTCAAGTTTGTTTCCAGTTGCCCGACCGACCCTAAAATATATGAGCCTAAAAAAATTATCCGCAAATATCTTTCCAGGAGTAAACTTCTCCAGTTTCACTATTAGAAATCCTAATTTTGATCACTGCCCTGTTTCAGAAAATGCATATTCTATACACATTAATCAAAAATGTTTCGACAGCGAAAATGGTAGCATGCTTGCCAATAAAATATTAAAATAAAATAAAATGTTTTCCCTACCTACCTACCCTATTTTTTCTCAGGTTGGAATAGGAAACACACTATTTATTTATCTTGGCCTAACCAGAATGAAGTATTGAGTACCTTTTACTGATTAAATGATTTAGAAACAAATAATGGTTTAAAACCCCACATCTATGTGTAATAATGGCTACAATGCAATCTAACAAAAATCTTTAAAGCATCTAGTCCATGTTTGGAATATCATGACCTCTTGTGGCCAGATTAGGGCCTCAGATTGGATCTTTTTTTTCATGTGAACAAAGAGAAAAACTTTTAATAATTTGATGAAGTACAAAGCCATGCAGGGTAACTCAGGTTAGCATTGAGGCCCATAGCTTCTTTTTCTAATAATAATTTGGGTTGAAGTAAAATGAAATCAAACCTTGCTATTTCAAACTTGATGGGACTCAAGAACAGTGATATCCAAGAGTTCAAAATACTGAGGATACCGGTAAATCATTACATATAGAAAAAGTAGAAGGGACTTCCAACTCCCTTCGAAATATCTATGGTATTAAGGATATTGACACTGAAGAAATTAAAATGCAATAGTAACTGTACTTCATTCAATTACAGCTACATGTCATAAGACTCTGTTGAACATTGTGACCCAAAGATATCTTATTTAAAAACTTTATTTACCAACCTATTGTGAGCTTTCTATTTCATGGTTAAATTTTGTCATACTTATCTCATAGCTTCCAATTTATGATGAGTCAAATTAATAACTTCTTAAAAACATGAAAGAAGTGCAGACATCCCATGATGTTAATGATTGTTCTTCTTTTAGTTTCCAGCATATGCCACCAATGAAATAGGACGACCTGGTACAGCAACAGCCAGAAGAGAAATAGGGTATACAAGGAGATAGCAAGCGTGGAATGCTTCTGGAATCTACAGTACAGAACTAACAGAAGTACCGAGCTGAGCTAGCTGGCTGTAGCTTCCGCAAACAGTACAGCAAAAGACATATTTATCAACAAGCTAGACGAACAGGTCTGATGATTTATATACATGTATCTCCCTTTTTTATTTCCTTTGTAGCTAATGACACAACATTTAATTAGTTAGCAAGCTGGGTGTAAATTCCATACATCCAGGTTGAGACAGGAGTAAATATCGTGATGTCACAATCCAGTTTTTCTATCACACAAAGTAAACAACATGACGTTATGATGCATTATAGCACTTAGTAAATCTCAAAAGTTTGAAACACCATTGGTGGTTTTTGGTTACATAGGAAAAAAAATCATTAAAAAGCCAAAGGGTGTATGGAATACAACCCGAGGTATTTAAAATCCCCGTACATCTTGATTGAACCTGGATAACGAATACATGCAATTTTTCCAGTTTATTTTTGGTGTAAACTTGTAAATAAATTCTAAAAGACCTATTGACCCACAATTGCATGCTAGTTTTCCTTACCAGTACTAGCTAGTCAGTGGAGCATAATTTTTTCTTCTAAAAAATCAATGAATGTTTTAAAGGTGAAGTCACTTCAGGAACAGTTGGAACAAAGAGACTAAAAGATAAAGAATTTGGAATCTTGTTTGGTTTCATCCATTTAAGAATCCATGAAGGCAACCTTTAGGAATGATATTATCACTTTTTCTGACAGTGTGAACTCCTCTCCAAGCAAACAACCAGACAGTTGTGACAGTAGACACTCTGACAGTGACCTCTCTCTGAGTAGATCTGCCTCAAAAAAGGGGGGCAACTCATTCAGGCACTCTGTAAGGAGGTCAAAAGGGGGAAAAGACAATACCAGGGTCAAAAAAGACGCTGCCAGTGTGAGGCATCCAATGAGACTAAGTGTTGACTATGAGGAAGACAGATTTCAGATGGTGAAGTCACCTTTACCTGACAAAAGTAATGCTTGCTTTGTGATGTGATAGTAAACAAACATTTAAGGATATCCGATCCTCAGCCATGAATGATAACTTTTAAAATTATCATTTTATTTAAAAAGTCTCTAAATGAAGCTTGAAATTGAAATCTTTTCGTGTAACAATTTCCATTTCATCAATCTCAATATGATTCAAGGTTCTTTAAAGTCTTGGAAACGCTCTTGTACAAAATTGACATTTCTACATTTGTACCCCATAAAAGTACAGAAATAAATATATTTTTAGAGAAATTGAATTTCCTTTAATCTTGGCTTAGAAACCAATGCTAATTAGTATGATTTGAAATTAGGAGTGATCTGTGATGTCTTGCAATGATAGCACAATCTTTTCACATTATATTATTATATAACAATTGAAGTAAATAGAACGAAAATACTACACAAGTATGAAAATATTCTCCAAAAGCCTATATACCTATAGTTTATTATCCTAAAATATATTTGTTGATCAATTTTCAATTAGAAAATGCAAAGCTGGTGCCTTTATTCGCGTTTCCTGAAAATATATTTGAGATTTGATAATTGTCCCTATATATGATACGAGTAATTACCGGGTAACTAAAATGATGAACTCTGAAGAAATACTATGGGTAAATACATATTACTCTGTGAATTCAGAGACATTTTTGCGTGTTTTTTTTTCCCAATTACTAGATTGCTGATTTTCAGAACCTGGGGATCGGACTACCTTAATTGGGAAACAGGTTTTTATGGTATGTATGGGAATTCATAATTTCTTGGGTGTGAAAGAGAGCAATACAAAAGAGAGTGAGAAAGATTTCTGGACCTCATTTGTTAACCATTATTGAATAAAATTATTATTTAACAAGTGAAAAAGAGTGTGAGAGAGAGAGATTTATGGGCATTATTTGTTACCTGCTATTGAATAAATTATTATTCAATAAAAGTGATAGTAAAAATCACACGTACATTGTATTTTTAGGTCACCTGAGTCACTCAGGTGACCTATTGCTATCTGTTTTCGTCCGTCGTCGTCCGTCGTGTGTTAACATTTGAACATTTTCAGCTTCTTCTCTGAAACCGCTGAACCAATTTCAGCCAATTTTAGCATATGGCATCTATGTGTGAAGGGGAACAAAATTTTTGAATATCATGGTCCCTGCCCCCCTGGGGCCTGAGGGGTGGGGCTAAAACCACCAAAATTAATGCAGTCTTTAAAAATCTTCTTCTTTACTCCTGGACATCAAGCAGTCAAACTGTTGGCATGATTGTAATAAGCATTAAACCCTCTACCAAAATTGTGAAATTCATGGCCCCAGGGTCAGGAGTTCTGGTGCTAGGGCGGGGCTATATAGATCATATAGTGAAAGTGCATTATTTCTTTGAAAATCTTCTCTACTCCTGGGTATTACTGAAACAAATTAAATACATAGTTATGTTAAGCAAGAGTGACTCTACCAAAATTGTGAAATTCATAGCCCCAGGGTCAGGGGTTCTGGTGCTAGGGGGAGGGGGAGGGGCACTATATAGATCATATAGTGAAAGTGCATTATTTCTTTGAAAATCTTCTTCTCTACTCCTGGGTATTATTGGAACAAATTGAATACATAGTTATGATAAGTAAGGATGACTCTACCAAAATTGTGAAATTCATGGCCCCAGGGTCAGGGGTTCTGTTGCTAGGGTGGGGTTATATAGATCATATAGTGAAAGTGCATTATTTCTTTGAAAATCTTCTTCTCTACTCCTGGGTATTATTGAAACAAATTAAATACATAGTTATGATAAGCAAGAGTGACTCTACCAAAATTGTGAAATTCATAGCCCCAGGGTCAGGGGTTCTGTTGCTAGGTGGGGAGGGGGGGGGGCTATATAGATCATATAGTGAAAGTGCATTATTTCTTTGAAAATCTTCTTCTCTACTCCTTGGTATTGTTTAAACAAATTAAATACATAATTATGTTAAGCAAGAGTGACTCTACCGAAATTGTGAAATTCATGGCCCCAGGGTAAGGGGTTCTGGTGCTGAGGGGGGTGGGGGGGGGCTATATAGATCATATAGTGAAAGTGCATTCTTTCTTTGAAAATCTTCTTCTCTACTCCTGGGTATTATTGAATACATAGTTATGATAAGCAAGGGTGACTCTACCAAAATTGTGAAATGCATGGCCCCAGGGTCAGGGGTTCTGGTGCTAGGTGGGGCTATACAGATCATATAGTGAAAGTGCATTCTTTCTTTGAAAATCTTCTTCTCTACTCCTGGGTATTTTTGAAACAAATTAAATACATAGTTATGATAAGCAAGAGTGACTCTACCAAAATTGTGAATTTCATGGTCCCAGGGTCAAGGGTTCTAGTGAAAAGGTTTGGGGGGGGGGGGGGGGGGACTCTATTGATTATATAGTGAAAAAGCAAAATTTCTTTGAAAATATTCTTTTCTGCTTCTGGTTAAAAAGCAAAGAAGCTAAGTATATAGTTATGATGAGCAAGAGTGCTTCTTCCAGAGTAGTGAATTGCATGACCCGGGTCAGATGTGCTGGTGTAAGGGTGGGGCTCTTGATAATATATTGAAAACGCATTAATTCTATTAAATAATCCTGTCTGCCCCTTAGTGTTAAGCAGATAAACAAAGTGATTACTTATGATGAGCAAACTTCTGGTCCCAGGGTGAGAGACTCTAGTGTTTCTTGGTGGGGAGGGGGGGGGAGCTCTATTGATAATATAGCGAATCTGAAGTAAAACTGCATTATTTCTTTAAAAATTTTCTCTGCACTTGGGCATATCAGAGGCAAAAAGTTTAAAAGTTTTAATAAGGAAGGGTATTTTTACCAGATTTTGAACATCTGGACCATTTGTTCAAGTGTTCTAGTCCTGGCCAGGGCTCTATTAATTTGTATTCTACTGAGAGGAGTTATTCCCCTTTGCCATTTACTTTTGATAATTAATAACTGTAAACAATGTACTTGAAAGGTTAATAGAATAAGAGAATTAAGCAAGAATTTTTATTGTATAATACAAAAAGTATTTTCATAGTTTTAATGATCAGATAGACTTGTAAGTAATAGATAAATAAAAATGGAACAAAAATAACTTGTCTTATTAAATGTTCATCAAAGACCAAGAGAGGCCAATGTAAGAGATTTGAGCAAGAAATTAAAATAGTACAGAAGCATTGATAGGTTTTTAATACACTGTATAGTGATAGTGATAAATGGGGAACAGATTAGAACCTAATTCATAAACTATCAGTGAATAATTATTTTGTTGATCCTGATCACCCTATTTTTCTTGCTTTTGGGCAACAAAGCTTCACCTTTCAGTTCATTTTATACTCTATGGATCCTCTAAATTGTTGTATTATACTCAGGTGACTGTTAAGGCCCTTGGGCCTCTTGTTCATTATGCAGAAAAAAAAATCAGAGAATAATAAGCTAGTGCTTCATCGTATCAATGATATATTTATCCATAAACATTTCCATGTAAATATATATGTAATATGGCATAATAAATTATTGAAATGAACATATTATAGACCAAATTAGACACAACAGTGTGTTAATTATATTCACTTGTATATGCATGTATATTATTATATCTCAAGTTTTTATTTGAACACATTTTGTCATTAACATTTTATCCACAGTTCATGTATAGCATTGCTTTTATACAAGAAAATCTTTTTCTAAAATTCTTGAATTTACATGTATATAGATTTTATGTGGAATCTGTGTTAATATTGCAGACTTTAGTAGTAATGAACACTATTTTTTTGTTTGAACTGTGGGGTTTTCCCTTTGGCTGACATTTTCCAGAATTTCTAAATCATTTCCCTCACCTCCTGATGTCCTTGTAGTTCCAAATATTTCTAAGAAAAGAGAAAAATATCACACTTTTTAGTACATGTCATGAGCTGACGCTTCATGAAATATGCCTACATGACAATTCCTTGTGATTCACACACCACCAACTTGCACAACAAGAGGCCCATGGGCCACAATGCTCACCTGAGTTACTTTGGCCCTGCTGTTCTACATAAGACCTCCCGTTTGTAATATTTATTGCGGCCCCGCCCTACCCCCGGGGGCCATGAATTGAAGAATTTAGAATCTACACTACCCAAGGATCCTTCCACGTAAGTTTCAGCTTTTCTGGCCCAGTGGTTCTTGAGAAGAAGATTTTCAAAGATTTTGCCTATGTATTTCAATGAAAAACTTTGATTCCCTATTGTGGCCCCGCTCTACCCCCGGGGGCTATGATTTGAACAATTTAGAATCTGCACTACCCAAGGATGCTTCCATGTAAGTTTCAGCTCTTCTGGCCCAGTGGTTCTCGAGAAGAAGATTTTCAAAGATTTTGCCTATATATTTCAATGTAAAACTTTGATTCCCTATTGTGGCCCCGCCCTACCCCCGGGGGTCATGATTTGAACAATTTAGAATCTACACTACCCAAGGATATTTCCACATAAGTTTCAGCTTTTCTGGTCCTGTGGTTCTTGAGAAGAAGATTTTTTAATGACCCCACCTAATTATACCCCCGCTCCGAAGGAGAGGGGGTATACTGTTTTACCCTTGCGTGTCTGTCTGTCTGTCTGTCCGTGTGTCTGTGTGTCTGTCCGTAACAAATTTTCGTCACAGTTTTCTTAGCAACTACTCATCACAGATGCTTGAAATTTTAGCACAATCTTTGTTTAGGCATGCCATATGGTCGGATCCATTTTTGTTCAAATCTGATGTCAACTTCCTGTTAATCCGTGTGTCTGTCCGTACCATACATAACACAAATTTTGGTCGCAGTTTTCTCAGCAACTACTCAGCGCAGGTGCTTGAAATTTTAGCACAAGCTTTGTTTAGGCATGCCATATGGTCGGATTCATTTTTGTTCGAATCCGATGTCAACTTCCTGTTTATCCGTGCGTCTGTCTGTACCAAATTTCCGTCGCATATTTCTCAGCAACCACTCAGCGAAGATGCTTGAAATTTTAGCACAATCTTTGTTTAGGCATGCCAAATGGTGGGATTTGTTTTTATATGAATTAGATATCAACTTCCTGTTTATCCGTGCGTCTGTCCATAGCAAATTTTTCATTGCAGTTTTCTCAGCGACTACTCATCACAGATGCTTGAAATTTTAGCACACTCTTTGTTTAGGCAGGCCATATGGTGGGATTTATTTTTGTTTATATCTGACGTCAACTTCCATTTTATCCGTGCATCTGTCTGTACCAAATTTCTCTCACAGTTTTATCTGCAACTACTCAGCGAAGATGCTTGAAATTTTAGCACAATCTTTGTTAAGGCATGCCAGATGGTGGGATTCATTTTTGTATGAATTCGATGTCAACATGAGAGGGTAACCATATATTCACATCAGAGCGGGGGTATTACTAGTGAGCATTCGCTCACAGACTTCTTGTTTTTGTCTTTTCTTGATTATCTCCCCTTGTAAGGGGGGTTGGCCCTTCATTTTAACAATTTTAATTCCCCTTCTCCCAAGGATGCTCTGTACCAACTTTGGTTAAAATTGGCTCAGTGGTTCTTGAGAAGAAGTTGAAAATGTGAAAAGTTTACAGACGGATGGACAGACAGACGAACGGACGCCGGACAACAGGTGATCAGAAAAGCTCACTTGAGCTTTCAGCTCAGGTGAGCTAAAAATGAAAATGTTTCTTAAAAAAATTGTTGAAAAAAGAACAACAGGTTCTTTTATCTTATAAAAAGAATATAACACCAAAATTTTTTAAAAGAAATTTATATGTGAAGACCAATAACATACATGTACATATATTTTGTAGTAATAATTCTTTCAAGATTCATAGAAATGCATTTAAGGATGTTGGCTCCTGAAGTTTTGAAATAAAAAAATCTCCGGAAACCACATTAATTACAATTAATAAGTATTGTGGTTCTAAAATATGTAGGTGGTGTATATTCAAGTGGTGCATATTATTCAGATATGGGGCCCCAAAGGGGGTACTGTTTTATTGAAAGTAAAATGTTGAAATTTGCATGAAATAATCAATGTCATAATTAAATCCCCCCAAAAGTATGTCAAATCAATAAAATATAAAAACCATTTAATAATTTCAATTTGACAAGTATTCTTAATCAGTTCAAAACGATAATACGATTTTCATTCCCCTGTAAAACACACACTGTGGCCAATTTATAGCCAAAAGGGGGTAATTTACATGAGCCAATAACTACCAATTTTAAATGCGTTAAAAATAAAATATTAATATTGTCAATTTTCTGATACTTTGAATATGTATAGGGATTTTTATGATGATTCCAATAAACAATAAAAAATCTGGTGTTCTGGGTTTAAAAAAAAAGTGTTAATCCGAATTTCCTCTGTTGTTCCTTTATTATGAGGTCTATATTGTAACACATATCGTGTATGTCAATTAATAAACAAATCACCTTTATATTTTTTTTTATAATTGTTTATGTAATCTTGTATTTAATCTAACATCATTAATAAACAAGTAAAAGGTCACAGAATACAAAAAGAAGTCCAAATTATTTCTTTACTGATTCCAACTTCAAACAATTAATGCGGCAAGAATCACTCATTTAGAACAAGTTTTAATTATTTTGATAATCCGAATTCAAACAAAAAAACTATTCTCATTAATATTTATAAATATTTATTTAAATTAACACAATGTGTTGACCAAGCTAGTGGAATATTAAGCCAAACATTCTCTGTCAAATAATGAATACAAATCAATTAACCGCATCCATATAACACTCCTATCAACAAAAATAGCAAGTTATTATAGGATGTACATGAAACTTGGAGTAGCCAATTACTGCACCTAATATTACACTCCTTTTACAAAATAGCAAGTGATTATAAGATGCACATAAAATTTGGAGCAGCCAATTACCACCCCCGACATTACACTCCTTTCACAAATTAAAACAACAAGTGACTATAGGATGTACATTAAGTTTGGAGCGGTCAATTACCGCCCCCGATACAACACTCCCTTCAAAAAATACAGGTATATAATACATAACACTTGGAGCGGCCAATTACCGTCCCCGATGTAACACTCCTTTCAACAAAATAACAAGTTATTATAGGATGAACATAAAATTTGGAGCGGCCAATTACCACCCCCGATATAACACTCCTTTCAACAAAATACTAGTAAATAATACATAAATCATAGAGCGGCCAGTTACCGCCCCCTATGTAACACTCCTTTCAATTAAATACTAGTTAATAATACATAAAACTTGGAGCGGCCAATTACCGCCCCCGATGTAACACTCCTTTCAACAAAATAGCAAGTTATTATATGATGGACATAAAATTTGGAGCGGCCAATTACCGCCCCCGATGTAACACTCCTTTCAATAAAATACTAGTAAATAATACATAAAACTTGGAGCGGCCAATTACCGCCCCCGAAACAACACTCCTTTCAACAAAATACTAGTAAATAATACATAAAATTTGGAGCGGCCAATTACCGCCCCCGATGTAACATTCCTATCAACAAAATAGCAAGTTATTATATGATGGACATAAAATTTGGAGCGGCCAATTACCGCCCCCGATGTAACACTCCTTTCAATTAAATACTAGTTAATAATACATAAAATTTGGAGCGGCCAATTACCGCCCCCGAAACAACACTCCTTTCAACAAAATACTAGTAAATAATACATAAAACTTGGAGCGGCCAATTACCGCCCCCGATGTAACACTCCTTTCAATAAAATACTAGTAAATAATACATAAAACCTGGAGCGGCCAATTACCGCCCCCGATGTAACACTCCTTTCAACAAAATACTGGAATATAATACAAAAAACTTGGAGCGGCCAATTACCGCCCCCAATACAACACTCCTTTCAACAAAATACTAGTAAATAATACATAAAACTTGGAGCGGCCAATTACCGCCCCGGATGTAACACTCCTTTCAACAAAATAGCAAGTTATTATATGATGGACATAAAATTTGGAGCGGCCAATTACCGCCCCCGATGTAACACTCCTTTCAATAAAATACAAGTAAATAATACATAAAACCTGGAGCGGCCAATTACCGCCCCTGATGTAACACTCCTTTCAACAAAATACTGGAATATAATACAAAAAACTTGGAGCAGCCAATTACCGCCCCCAATACAACACTCCTTTCAACAAAATACTAGTAAATAATACATAAAACTTGGAGCGGCCAATTACCGCCCCTGCTATAACACTCCTTTTGACTAAATAGTAATAATATGATTTACATAAACATGGAAAGTCCAATTACTGCAACCGACATAACATAATAGTAACAAAACTTAAACTATGAAAACACATGTACTCATTAAAATTTCAGCTCTCATTACACTGTGCAAAGTAATTGTTCAAACTGTTAATAATTTTTTGGGATTTCGTAACTCTCACCGAGTTTCCAGTTTTTTCCTGACACAACTTAGATATACCATTCACGGTATCAGCATTAAATGCCATCTGCAGATGATTGTAGAGAAGGCCACTTCCAGCAATCTTTCTGGCAATACCCTGGCTGCTGATTTTTCCTGCAACTAGGGACTGGAGAGAAGGCAAATTTGTTCTAATTTGGCATGAGTAGAAGTAGGAGGCTATTACGCTTTGAACAGTGATTGATGATCTTCTGACATCAGTGCTATTCAGAACACTTGGTGTGAAATAACTCTGAACTAGGGATTTCAAAGCCGCAACATCATCTACAGCATTGTGTGCAGAGTAGACTATATCTGAAAGACATTCACAAAGGTTTTCCTGTCGATAAGATGGTAATCCAGGTTTCACAAGTTTGAAGAGTTTCAGAGTGTCCACAAAACCATCCACTACTTCTGAAAATTCAGTTATTTTGTTGCATGCACGTAAAGCATGCATAAGAACGGGACAGTCAAATGACTGGATGTTATGTCCAAACAAAATCAATTTTTTACCAAATCAATTACAAAAACTAAGTAAGCTGTCAATAGCTGCAGAAATTGATACTGCATCTTTTTCCTTTTCAAAGTGGAATAATTTTCCATTCTTTACACTTATTCCAGTCACTTTCTCTGCCTCTTTTGATACTGGTTTCTTTGGAAGAACATACACTTGAAACTCTTCTTCCTCTTCCAGAAATGCCAACTGAGTAATGTGACATGTTCTATCTGAAATATTAGATGGATAATTAATACACAAATCAACCAAATCATACAAAGTATTGAAAAGTTCTCTTTACCTTGGTAAAATGACATGTAGATTGCCAATTTAAATCTTGATTTTTGAGTAATTAATTCATGAAGCCAATTATCCTAAATACAACAGTTATGAATATAAGTGTCCTAGATTTATATGCTATTATAAATTTCATTACTGTAAAATTTTTCAATTCTAACTGTTCATAAAAAGTAATATTTTTCAAAAATTATATTGTCAATATAATCTTTTACACATTTGCTTCCTATATTTTGTTTAATAAATTATTGACAAATAATTTATTTTTCACTAATTTTTTTAAGATATGTGAAAAAGAAAACAATAGTTTCACGCATGATTTGAACTCTGGCCAAGGCTCGCGGTTAGGAGTAAGACTGAACGCGTTAACCACTACGCTACGAAGACTGCTTGTACTGTTTAATGTCAGTGTGATTTAAATAAACAAGTTTGTTGAAGCGTAAATTTTTTTTCCAGAAATGTTCAATTTTCATATAGAATGGGTTCAGACTCCATTTTTTTGAAACATGAAATAGATTTTACATTATCTTTTCCGTCATATAAACGTTAATGAAGATTTTTAAACAATTTTCCTACATATTCCTATGTAAAAATTTGATCCCTCATTGTGGCCCCCATCCTACCCCCCGGGGGTCATGATTTGAACAAATTTGAATCTAAACTATGTAATGAAGGTTTCACATAAGTTTCAACTTTTCTGGCCCAATGGTTCTTGACAAAAAGATTTTTAAAAGATGACACCAAATTTTCACCAATTCCTTATCTCCCCTTGGAAGAGGGTGTGGCCCTTCTTTTGAACAAATTTAAACCCCCTTCACCTAAGGATGCTTTGTGGCAAGTTTGGTTGAAATCGGCTCAGTGGTTCTGGAGAAGAAGTCGAAAATGTGAAAAGTTTACAGACGGACAGACAGATGGACAAAATGTAATCAAAAAAGCTCACTTGAGCTTTCAGCTCAGGTGAGCTAAAAACCTAAACATTTGAAGATTATAATATATAAGTACCCAAGCCAGTTGTTTCCAAGTCAAAGTAAACAGGTAAATGGGTTTCTGCACTGAAGTTTACTATTTCTGGTTCTGGCCGAATGCATGGTTTTGGAATACTAGCAAGAATTGTATCAGTTTGCTGACATAATCCAATCTCAGATGAATATGTGGGGCCTTCCCTGTTTTCTTGACAGGCAATCCTCTGCAATCTAAAAAAAAATAACATGATTGTAATACACTGTAGACAAGAGTTTCCATAAGACATCATCTAAGAAATGAATCTACTTTTTGAGAATTCATGAGGTACATGAACTACAACGCTTCACCCCTTCATATCATCAAGATACATGTATATATACATTATTTTTCTGACAACTTGCCACAAATTTATGTCATCCAACAATCATTTTTGCACGAATTGTAAATCATGTACAATTTTGTATACAATTCTTGATATTATTAGTTTTAAAGAATATTTCATAAGGTCCAAGTTTCTTAAAACGACTCCAGACAGTGGTTGAGATGACAGAGTTTTACAAGCATGCTTAAGTTAAAACCTTTTGGAATTTAGCTGGTTTATATTAATTTGTTGTTGATTTTTACTATAGTTACAATCGCATTAGATCCATCCCCCACACCCGCTGTGTCGCACCAATAAGTTCATATATTGACTAATATTAGCTTTTAAAATTGGTGCCTAAGTAAAATATGCCTGGCGACTAAAAATTTGTATTGGCGACTAAATATTTTTTTATTAGGAGCCAGCTGGCACCTAAATTTCAGAGGTCTTTTAGAGGCAAATGGTATTATGACGTCAAAATGGAGATATTCTTGCTCACTCGTGGTAGTTCACATGAACATGAATTTTTTCTAATTTGCAAAGAATATTAAGGGTTAGGGATAAATACTTGGTAATGTAAATATAATATAATCCACTGGGTGGGTTAAAATCTTTATAACAGTTGATCATTTATAGAGAAATTTTGATCAGAACTCTTTACCAGTGTCATGAAATTGACAATTATGGAAGAAGCCTTCCTGCTCTACATGATATGTGTCTCAAGTCAATACCTTAATGTATTCTCATTGAGCATGTTATATCAAATTACCTCTGGGCTTTCAGATTCATTCTCCTTCTTTTTGCTTTTACGGTGTTGGCAATGGCTTTTGGCTTTCGGTGCTGTAAATCCCTCAGTACAGCTACTTTATGAGTGAAGGTGCCAGGGGATAAGCCTGCTCTAATGTTCACCTGTAATAATTTAATTCTGATTGTAACGCGCCATTTGATTGGATAAAAAATTTACTTTAAATCGTATAAATTGGGTTACCTACGTCACAATGACGTGCGTCAAAAACGTATCGATCCGCCTGACGTTACATTTAAATTTTGTACAATTTGAAGTCATTTTTGAAAGGCAATCCTCTTTTTTTCTTACATTAAATGAATGAAAATTAAATTATAAGGAATGAAATTAATAGCTACCCAATTTATACGGTATTAAGTGGGTTGGAACAGTTTACGCTTTTTTATAAACCGCTTAGCTATTAAAATCATTCCTTAAATAAAATAAGATAATTATATGACTTATTTGAAAGGTGGAAAATGACAAATTTTCAACAAAAATGATATTTACACTCAAGCTTACTAAAATGTTTTTGGTACCTTGGCTACATAAGAGTGTCCAATGTTCTTTTGTGCTACTCCGGCAGCAACTCGGTACCCCAGACTTGCTGAACCACTGAAATGACATCGCTTGGGAGCTTTGGAGGCAATGGTCATGTTAAGCGACTCATTAGCTTGAGTTGACCCCATGTGAGCTAGCTTCTTGCTGATCCCCTTATATCTGGTAAAAAGATCTAACAAAGAACTCTGTAACTTTGAGTCAGAAAGACACTTTCCATAGGGTAGTGACTTATAGTTCATATTGGGATTTTCACGATGGCTACACCAATCCCCACATGAAGAATGGTCCCCAAATGGGTGTTTATACATGGCATCAAGACCAGTTGAAATCCCATCCTCATTTCCAACATTTTGAGCAACCATGTAGTTCCAGCACTTTTGAATATATTTTATAACTTTAGTGGTGAGAGACTTGTGTACCTTTTGCAGAGCGTAGAGATGATTTGCAAGATTTTTCTTGAGATGGTTCCTGTCTGATTGCTTTTCTTTTGTGGGATCAACTTCATGTCGTAAACGTGATATGGTGGCTGCATCATCATCACCAATGATGGTTGCGACTCTGACACCACTTTCTTTAACTTTCTTCACCATTTCCACTACCATGTCTTGTTCCATGGCTTTGGAACTCCCTAAAATAAACAAAGGTTCTGGTAATCAAAAATCACAAAGCGCAAGGCATGCATGGACCTCAAATTGAATGATCTAATAAAGTGCCCACCACAGCATGATATTTACATTACATATGTATTTTGCATATAAAGTGTGTGGAAATCTATGGCATTCAAAACACCATAACACGGAAAGGGGGTTAAAAGGTTAAAGCATGCGTTTTATTTTGACGTCACAATTGTTGATCGCCGAGGAAGTACAACGTCATAAGTGAAAATCAAAAATCATGCTCACATTGACCAGAAGCTGTTACATTGGCTCTTCCATTTACTGTAGCTTACACAAGGATAATACGTGGGTTTTGAAATATAAATCACATTTGCAGTCAAGGCAGAGAGTTAAAAAATGTACATATAAGTAATGAATCATTATTTTTTGAAAGATATAGTCTCTTAACTGCAACGGTGTGTGCATATTTTCATGACGCGCTAACGCGCGTTACTCAATTTGTTTGCACACACCGTTGCAGTTATGAGACTATATCTTTCAAAAAATAATGATTCATTGCTTAAATACACCCATCAAATATTGTTCAATTGTCATAAACAGTTTAGAGTGCAAGAAAATCATGTCAACCTTGATACAAGTATTTCAATGATTTTTCCATTCCTTATAATATTTGTTTATACATCTCCTGTAGTGTAGGCTTTAATTATAACAAATATTACATTAAAGATCCTCAACTGGTTGTGTTACAGCTTGACAATTGCTCATCTGCAGCCCCCCCCCCCCCCCCCAAGCTTTCAGATTTGTGAGACGGGCGTATAAAAATAAATACAGGTCAACTGATCTGGAGGCAATAAATTTAAAAATTTGGATGTCCATGAAGCAAATGTTTCCTAAGGTAATAGAGAAGATGTTTATCATAGCATAGTAATTTGATCTTGAACTTGGACCTTGTGAACTTATACAATCAATGTTGTCCTCAACCCCAATCAATATTTATATATTATTATACCTCAATATAATTATTCTATACAAAGCTTTATCTAATTGGTTATCTAATTGGTTGTAGATTATCACATGACAGGGCTATAAAACTTCATATTTCCCTGTCATCTTCATGCTGTTCATCATATTCAACCTCTTTGGAAACCTAGTGCATTTTCCCGTAATAGTTATCGTTCATTGAATGAAAACTCCCTAGAGTAGTCGACATCACAACAGCCTGATTCAAGTCACAAAATTTCTGATTGCTTCATCCGAGTGTATAATTTGTCCAAGGGACTTCTGTAAATTGTTTCAGTAACTTTATGCTAAAATTGAAAGTGAATTTGAGAGGGGTGCTGAATTTGAAAGTTTATGTTTAATTTTAAAGTTTTTGCTTGTTTCTGTATAATAAACAATTGTTATTGCATGATCGTGAGGGAAGTATAAGATTTATTCAGCCAAGTAAAAAATCATATTCCCCAAAGGGCTAAATGTATAATATTGCATGGTTGAATTATGTCATGGTTTCACAGAGATTTCCCTTGAGAAGTTTACAGAAAAATTTACAGATGGATGGACAAATGGGCAGACAGAGTGATTACTATAGGACACCCAAAAATTCTAACAGGGGCCTAATTATGGTTTTATTGTTTTGTCATATAAATTGACAACAGATTTCAATACCTTCCCAATTTTTCTGACAAACGTGGGGCCTTGCTGGCAGGTTTTCCTTTGCAGCATGTGCACATATACGACATGACTTTATTCTACAGCTCCGATCTAGCACTTTTCCAGTCTTTGCTCCTATCATAGTTGCATGTCCTAAATGACAAAATAATTACAAGATGAAGATAACAAACAGTGATCAATCTATAAAAATCTACAAACAAAACAACTGGCATAAAACAGGGACCCCTGGAAATTCCAGAGATGGGAGCAATAATATATTTTATCACATTTTACCCCTTCTACATTCATCCAATGTGTATCCCCTGTTTAAACATACATTTCTTTTATACAACTGCCCCATCGTAACTCCAAAGAGTCTATGAATCAAGACAATATGGGGATGTTATAAATTATATGACTACATGTAGCATAGCCTTGAAGCTATGGAGAAGAAAATTTTTTATCTGTATACTTGCATTTCTTAAAATTTGATCCTGATTTTAGTCAATTTCTTACTCAGGTCCACATGAAATTTACTCTTTCTTGATTCAGTTATTCTTGAGCATGATAAGAAGATTTTAAAAGTTTTTTCATATATATTCCAATGTAAGACTAATTGATCCCTCATTCTGGCCCCATCCTATTCCTGGGGGCCATGCTTTGAACAATTCGTACATGGTCTTCTGCTATGAAACAGATTCAAAAAGACCTTAACACAAACTGCCTACATAATTATATATGTAGGTATTAGTAAATATACTTACCAGATAAACTGTTGTAAGCTTTTCCACTACCTCTTCTCTGCCAGCCCGCATCAACAGAAGCAGAAATTTCTCTCTCACCATCCATTTTCCTTCATAAAAATATCAATATGACATATTATAACTGTAAAAATTTTCACACAAGATCACAGTGAAACACCCCTCTCACAAATAATCCGAGGAGCCGTTATTTGTGGTCCTGTTATGTTATCAATTTGCAAGAAAGTACATACATACATATAAAATTTATGCTAATTCCAATGACAATAGCCTGGTAATTAATTCATTGATAATTCATATTTAAATATATACATTTGTGGTATCTCTCTGTTATATAAACATGCAGAGAGCAAATATCTTCATACCTGTATGAAGTTTTTCGAAGGTCATAGGTCATTACGTGACCTAATCACACAGCGCAGTAATATCTACATAAAAAGACTTACTCCACTAAGCAATATAGCATGTTTTTCATGCATAAAAATGTACAAAATACGCAAGTAAAATAATTATAATTTTATTTACAATGTAAACGAGTATTTAATACAGTTCTTGATCGATTTTACATAGAGAATAGAAAACTACGTGTTACAAGTTTCATGTCTGAGCTGCATAGTCTCAACGTTTACCCTTATTTTTCTCGCAGACCTCTGAATGCTATAATTTTTTTTTCATTAAACTTTACTCACAATAAATTTGAAAATCTGTTGAAAAATGTCAATGCAATGCAATCATGCCACAAACAACTGACAAATACTGCACTTTGGAAGTTCGGTAGGCACACCTCCATCATCGAGATCGTTGTGACGTTGTCTTAACAATGTAAACTGTCGCCAGTGTCTCCATGTTAACATCATAAATTAATAAATATGCCTTACTGAAATCGTAGATTTTATGTTTTTATCAAATTTTGTACTTGATTTCAAGCTATCTGGTCCGGACAAGTGTCTCCATCCATCCCTTTCCGACCGAAATTCCTCCAACTTTTTATTATCAAACATCGGACGTGTTTCTTGTGTTTTTTAACATCGAATATGGGTTCTCGTGAATACAAAAATTCCCAGACACCAATATGATTGATCACAAGTAGCCTTTCACAGAATATTCCCTTCAAAACAGAATCCTTTGCCAGATGAATTTGAAGCGTAACCGCTTTTCAAGCCAATTTACACCTAGCGTAATTTGTCAAAATCTACAACGTACAGTTAGTGCAATATTTATATTCGATTACATTCGATTATCCATCTCAAATGTATATATAAGTAATAAATAACAAGTTTAAAAACTTCAATGGGAATTGAAGTGGGTCGGTACGTGATCAAATCTTCTGAGAAGGCCTTCGGCCTTCACAGGATTTGATCACGTGACCGACCCACTTCAATTCCCATTGAAGTTTTTAAACTTGTTATTTATTTCTTAATTATTAAGGACATTAGAAAATTTTGTAAATGAATGCCTATTAAGCTGTACAATACAAAATCAGCAAAAGCTGAACAAGAATGAAATTCCTAAAAACTACATGTATTAATTAATGAAAAATGAGGGTCTATGTGTAATACATGTACCGTAAACTTCATACGTGTAGTCAGTATATTTACAAGGTGGTAAATGTAATTCATACACATGTATGTCATTCAACATAAAAATCATTTGCAATCCCTATGACAAGAAATGATTTAAATCTGATGTTTTATTCCTGATATTTTATAAAAATTCATTACCTTTCTGTTAGTAAGCTCTCTTCTTCTAAACTTTGTTTAGTCGAGTCTGCTGCAATAGCTTCTATAACTGGACCAACCTCTGCCTGCCTGCTGGCAACCATCTTATGGTGAATCGGATGTATATTAAGTGCTGCCAAAATGCTATTAAATTGGGAAACTCCTCCACCCGCATGGATCATTGCTGTAAATAAATGTCAACAGTACATGTACATGTATTACTTTTATCTGATGAATAAAAAAACCTAAAGAAAAAATAATTATACTCTATTGGATCATTAATCAAATATCATTGTATACCAGTGATTCTGTTAATAACTGTTTTATTATATGACAGACAGATGGATGGACATGATAGCCATAACATATAATATGTCGTGTCATAGATTGTCATGTCATAGATGGTCGTATAAAAAAAAGGAGGGACCAGCCTTTCAATGAACACTTACATACCAAATAAAAAAAATTAACCTTCAGAAAAAAGGTTTGAGAGGGGGCAAGGCACCCTGCAACCCCCCCCCCCCCCCCCCCCCCCCCCCCCCCCCCCACAGGTGCCTGAATGTTATGAAGTTGAGTGCACCTGAATTAACTTTTACATGTAAGAATTATTTGTTTCAATTAGGAAGTTCCTGATGTATTGTTAGTCCAATGCAGTAAAAATAAATATAGAATCTTCCATGGTGTGTGGTTGGATATGATTTTATATCAAAACAAGTTGTGTGTTTTGATACCCAAGCCTTGACAAGGGAATAAAAACACACAACAGTTGGATAAAAAGCCATATCTAACCACAATCCTTGGGACATTCTTCACATGTTTTATACATATATAATTATAGCTATATTTCATGTTTTTCACTGCTTTTTATATGCATTTAAGCCAATCTCAGACCTAGGAATTATTCAATCATATAATAAAAAATAACATCTCACCAGTTCCAAGTTTTGAATTTACATCCCAAGTTCTTGAAGGATGAACTCCATGCCTCTTTCCTGTTGGGACATTATTCACGTAGTTGCAATTAGAATTACTACATGGAATCTGAAAAATTTAAAAACATTCTCACAATGTTTGACTCTCTCAATTCAAGCAACTAGCTTGGCTGTAAAAATGAACAGCAAACCCTACCTTCAGTTTTTGATTCTAAGGTCATAGAAAATTTGGATTTATTTACCTCCTTATTCTGGGTTTTGTGTGCTACATTACTCTAGTTTTTGGGATGGATATATGAAAATATGGATTTAAAATCAATATACCTGTATATGATACTATTACAGGGACTTTTTAAAATAAAGTTTGACACAATTTATTTTCAATAAAAACAAGCAGCTGGCGTATTAAGAATGTGATAGTGTATAAAAAAATATTCCCCATAGAAGAAACATTTCTTTAAAGGGGAGGGGGATGACTGTGCATATTGTTGATTTGTACATAATTGATGTCTGTGACAATTACTATGCACCAACCCTCACTGCACATAATGACGTTCATAAACTTATAATTTTACTGGCTGAAAAATTATACAGTAATCATGTACATACTGTCACTGATGACATTTATGTGCCTACCCTCACTGCACATACTGTCGACCCATGGTTATAAGGATTCTTGAAGATTTTTTTTGTGTTAATTTTGTGAATGTAGATTGGAGTGTAACTCTGACAGACGTGTCTATTTCATGCAATGCTATTGCGACAGTACATATTTTCATCCTGTATGTGTTGTTGGCAGTTGCTGGCGAAAATGTGTACCAACCCTCACTGCACATATTACTCCCCCCCCCCCCCCCCCCCAGTTGTAATATGCATGCAATGGACCAAATACTTTTTAAAAAGTGTTGGGATCGATCTAAGATAAGTTTAAAAAATATATATCTAAATGCTTGGTTACGGTTGTTTATTATTTAATTTTTTTTTTATAATTCAAAGCTATGAATGGAAAAATATATTATATATATATTATTTTCAGAACTTATGATTATGCATGAAATATTGGTAGTTAGTCTTCATATCATGATAGTCATACATATGGCACAATAAAAAATCACGATATACAGTTATAACTGATAAAACAGTGAGAGATTTTTTTCTACACAAGCCTCTAGCTATGGCCCACTATACTGCTAATTTATATATGCTATAGAGGGAGTCTAGTCAGCTAGTATTAGAACACCTGTCAGGAAACACACAGAACAGAACAGATTATTTATTTCTAATCTACATTCTGCCAGGGTACTGAGAACAGAGGCTTAGAAGTTAAAACTCTGAATTATACCTTGTCCTGTAATCTTTCCATTTAAAAGGCAGTAAATTACACAGATAACATATATACACTACCTAAACAAATTTTCATATATTGTTAAAAAAAACAACCAAAAAAGTATAAGATTACCTTTAAGATAGCGGCCAATCCGTAAGTGTTAATCCCTATGGTGTGATGGAGATGGAGTGGGACACCACACTTATCACAGGCTTTGAGGGCTTCGGCCAGAACCCCGAGTTCCACAATCCGGCGGCCAGTGGACCAAGTGTTGTCCGGCTCAGAGGAACTGTCCCCGTCAATAATGATGTCCTCGTTGACATGACCAATGTCTGGGTAAGTCTGAGGAGCGGCATGACGTAGCCCTGGGCATCCCGCGTAGGAATGATCTTTTCTAATCGCAGACCGAATTCGAAAACGTTTGGATACTTTTTCTCTTCTCTCTCTCTCCTTAGCGGTGCAGAACCAACTCTTCTTGTTAACTTTACCCATTTTTGACGTTTCACCTTCCGTCGATGTTTTGTAAACAGACGACAATAGTGCATGTCGTAAATTGCGCGAAACGCATTCGGAAGAATGATCTCGGCTTAAAATATATATAAGTGCTTTTTAAGTATCTACTTATAAAACGTTTAAATAAAATAAGTCTTAACATTATATTCTTTGAAAGCTCCTTGATCAGAAATTTTACATTAGATCGAATAACGACATTTCGAGTTGCGCAGTGGATTCAAAAGTGTCAGGAGCGAACATCTTTAAACAATATCATTTCATTTCACAAAATCATATCATTTTTAAATATAAACTTTGAAAAAACACTTTTACCGGTACTCAATTTTTACTATTGAGAAGAAATTCTCTACTTGATATTAGTTAGGTATTTTACTTTCAGCATAAATACAGAATCAGCCTTATAGGATTCCAGTCTTTTAGCCAGTAGAGCATTCCGGGAGCATAACATCCCCAGTAATGAGGCTGCTTCTTTTATTCTAAAAGTAAAATAAAATTCATTTTAAAACCATGCATCTAAGAAGCATATTAAAGCTAGTAATAGTTGACATCACAGGTGCCCAGGTAACCTTAACGAAAAGAACACAATTTTTGTTTTCAGAATCAGCAGGTTTTGTGTATGTTTTTAATGTTTACCTGCTGTCACTATGATTGTGTGTTTTAGCGTTTATCTGACGTTCCTGTTTTTTTTATAACTTTGTGTATTTTTTAATGTTTACCTGACGTTCCTGTACGGAGTTGTCTGACAATGACACACAAGCAAACGCACACAGAGGGAGCTCCAGCTTCAGGTACTGCTGTCTCACCACAGATATAATGTTAGTGTCACTCAGCACAGGGCACCTGTTGGTAATTAGTGTACTCATGATTACAGGTTATAAATCTAAATAGAATAAAGATAGAAGGGTTAAGGTACTTCATAGAAGGGTAAAGGTATTTTAAATTTGTTTTACCTAATTATCAAATTGAAGATGTGAACACAAGTGTCTAATTGGTCCTCTGTCAATGGGGCAACCATTGAAACATACAAGAAAATCAGTATCTAATCCAATTTCTAGCCAACTGTCTTGCCCTCAATTTTTTCCACCTCTAAGATGTCACTTTATCATTGGATAGCTGGTGTCGCTTACCTACCATCTATATATTGTGGACAGCCTATAGCTATTATTTAGACAGTAATATGGCAACTAAGAATACAGTCATTTTAAGTATGGTTATTAAAAGTCAAATTATTTTTTTTTTAAATTGTAACATTATTTTCTTCTTTTAAAAAAATATGAATTATGGTTTGGGGCAATGTAACAATGTAGCTTTGAATTTTAGAGTAATGTCCCTTTTCTAATGACGATCAACAAAGAACAAGAAGAATTGAAGGCGACTTCCTAAGTTGAGTGTAGAATAAATTAATTTATGTATTAAAAGTACAGTATAAACTTTATTTTGATCTTTACCTACAAAAACAATTAGGTTTGCTTGGCTTTTTATAAGCTTGATCAATTTGACATACATTATGCATTTCTCCAGACAACTAAAGCTTAATTCATAAACATATTAACCTGACCTAAATCAAAAGATTTACAAACACTGTGTAACATTTCTTTTTGAACACAGCAAATTATTCACAAGATTTTATAACTGATTGTTTACAAGAGGTATAAATATTTAACCTTTTGTAAGTGGCGTGACTAACATGGTTTGCCAAGCTCCGGAGAACACGGAAGCCTGCCAGACTTCTGGTGCTGCATTCAGTCTTCCTACCACATATTCCAGCTGGTCCATCTAAAACAGAAAACATTTGTACACCTACACCGCAAGACAAAAATTAGTGGTTCTACTTTAAAATTACCTGAAAATTACCTCTAGAAATTTGTATGAATTTACATGTATTATTGTAAAACTGAGTTGATACAAAATTCATACCAAACCAAAGTGAACAAGCTGTTGTAAAACTCCATTCCAGATCTGAACATCATAAATTTTATAGTTCAAACACAGGGCAGCTTCCAGCATGCAGGCCTGAATATGACAAATGATGTAGAAATGTTCATTTCTTTTTTAATTTGTGAAAGTAATCAATTTAAAGAGAGTCAAAATCCACTGTGGATTAAACTCAGGCAAACAGCTATGACATACATGTACAGTAGGTTAGAGAGATTATGAAGCTCACTTTGATGAATCTTACCTGTAAGATGTTACCTGTAAGCAGGGTAAAGTCTCACAATAAGTGAGTGTTCAGTAAGCTCCATTCATTTTATGTAAATTCATTATCAGATCTTCTTTCATTAAACAGCTTAAAATAGTTATACATGTAACTTGCAGCGTTTAGCAAGAAGGTATCTCTACATACATCATCTACGCAAATTTAGTCCAGGTAAAAATCCTTTGGAATGGACCCATTCCATAAAACTTAATCTGGTTATGCAATTATGTAGAAAAAAATTTATTGTCAGACTTCATGCTTTGTATTGAAAGGGAATTGATGAAAATTCTAGAAGTAGAATTCCATAAGTAGATTTAGTTATGATGTATCCCAATCTTTGATATTTTCATTTTTCACATTTTCTTGACATTGCATTGGGAGTATTAGGAAGAGAGTTCAGATATCAATCTGTGCATAAAAAAATGTTGGGCAACTATGAATAAGCAATTTTTTATTTTAAATTTTTCTGGCTCCTCTGAAAAATTGGCATTAAACCTTCAAATGCTTGTTCAACATCTATCCTACCTCCCTTTACAGTGACTTACAGATTTTTGATGACTGTGGTTCCTCCTTTGATCAGTGACTTACAGATTTTTGATGACTGTGGTTCCTCCAGATTCCTTTGATCAGCCCCTCCTTGTTGGAGGATTCAAACGTCTCCACTGAGTGCAGTATGCGGAGCTTCTCCAGGGCTATCAGGTAACTGGTCCTCTTCTGCAGATTCCTGGATAAACAACATGGGAGATATTTCAAGATGATGAATTAAAATGAAGTTAAACAATATAACCACTTAAAAAAATCAATAAAGCATACAGAAAAAAGCAGTTACATTATGTTTTTTGTATACATGTATTTTTCTAGTGCAAGGATACAAAACCATAATATTCAATATTAAATCACTTTTAAAAAAAATCCCTACCTAAGGTCCTCAATATTACGACCACACATTTTCTATACAATCTCATCTTGACGTAATTCCAGCAAGCAATGCAAGGCTCGCATCTTACACATGTTTGTGACTGAAGTCATTTCTCCAGTATTCTGATTCTAGCATACAGAATACAAATAAAGGTGAAAAAAAAAATAAAAGATACAAAAAGGTGCTTGGCTTTAGAATCATTTGAAAGCAGTTTAGATAGAATTCCTTGTAAATATAACTTTGCTGTAAATAAAGTGTTTGCCTTTTCATGAAAGGCTTT